CGCTGTTCTTGAATTGGCTATGTAGGTGAGGATGGGCTTGGATTTCAGACGTGATTCACCATGTCTCTTACACTATGCCAGGTTTATGTGGTGCTGGACTTCCAACTCAGGACTCAGGGCTGCGAGGCAAGCCCTGTCCTGACTGTCCCCCCCCCCCCACACACACACTGGTTTTAGTCAGGCTGCCCTTGAACTCAAGATCCTGGGATTACAGGCATGTACCACCATGCTCAACTTGACATTTTAACCAGAGATAAGGATCTCTCGTGTTAATTTTTCCCTTACCTTGTTCAGACATCTCTGAAGTACATGGGATAGCTGTCCCATTGATTTGGATGTGTGTGTGTGTGTGTGTGTGTGTGTGTGTGTGTGTGTGTGTGTTCTAAAATCTAAGGTCTGCTGAGGAACAAGGTTTTGAAAAGGAGCGGGCTGGAGTGAGAGGCCGCAGAACAGTGCGGGAGCTTCTGGCTCCTCCATAGCCTTCAGTTTTGCAATGGGAAGGAATGTGTGTGGCATGCTAGGCATCTGGGCCTTCTGTGTCCACCCATGGAGAGCATGTGACCCTCACTAAGCAGATGACTGGGAAGTGGAGGCAGAAGCGTGATACACATCTCCTTGCTGCTAGCCTGGGGATGCAGGGAGTGACCTGCCCAACCTCTTCTTGGAAGCTTCCTGCACTGTGGGGGTAGGGAGGTGTCCTTCTCCAACCCTGTATCCGCCTGGCTTACTAGGTAGCTTTCTTGCAGCAAAAGGAGACTTGGGTTCCTTAGTTGCTGCTTGACCAAGACCTAAGTCTGCAACTGGGTTTGTGTTCCTTCAAAGCACTTCCTAGAGGACAATTGGTGACTGCTTCCTGCTCTGCCTGGGTGGAGGTACTAACTCACTTAGTTTCAAGCTTGATTCTGCCTCTCATTCACTGTGGCAGGATGATGAGCAAGCTCCGCACCTCCGGATGCTATGTTGGTGGATTTGGGATTAAAGTAGCCCCAGGCCAAGGCAGCACTGGAATGTAGAGCGCCCAGGCCTTCCCCTCTGCTGCCCTCTCAGAAACCAGAGGTGGCTTTAGGCTTCCATCCAGGCTTTGCAAGTGGGAGACAGACAGCTCAGCTTTTCTTGCACTAGCCTAGCCTCTGCAGTCAGTCCACGTAGGAATGGAGATGCGTTCTGGAGCAGAAGTGCTCTGGGTGTCTTGAACGCCCAGGAAGCTGGGCAGTGCCTTCATTCGCCTTGGGTCCTTCCAGTTTCTCCTCCTGCTCACAGGTGGCTCACATGCTGCTCCCTTCACTGTGAGTCTCTAGGCCTCACAGTTATGTGCTAAAGAGTCTGGTATGGCTTCACAAGGTTCAGAGCATCTGGCTCACCAAGACTTGTTCCAACACATTCTACCAGCAGCGCAGACTACCGTTCCTTCACACACACACACACACACACACACACAGAGGGGGGGGGGAGGAATGACACAATGGCAGGTGAACACCTCTCACGGCCCCTGTGTTTGCCCACCCTTTAACGCTTCTTTACTTACCCATCACCACTTTTTAATCCCTCAAAGCCACCCGTCTCCTTCCATTCCTCCTTTTCCTCCCGGAATGTTCTGTGTAACTGGGCATGGTAGCGCATGCTTGTGATCCCAGCACTTTGGGATAGACAGGAGGATGGAGTTCAAGGCCAGGCTAGGCTACCTAAAGTTCAAGACCAGCTTGGTCTGTGTAGCGAGGTCTCGATCTGTAGAAGGTGCTTGTTCCTCTTTTCTCTTCTGCTTACCTTTGCCCTCCCCGGAGGGAATGGGTTATGTGACTGGGGGCCGTGTTTCCAAGGGCAGCGGTCAGGCTTGGGCACTCCAGTGCCCTGAGTGTGTTTTCTGATCCATCCCCTGGCCCGGCTGGGAATAATATCCGAGCTTCAGTCTGCCAATGCCAGCCTTCCTGATTGAGGGTCTCCCAGCTTAGATGAACGTTCGCTTGTTGATAGAGATGGAAGTTGGCACTCAAAGTCATCTCTGGTAAAAATAATGTATGGACTCTTGAAATTGATGTTCTGTTTTCTCTGTCACTTTATATTGTTCAGGTACGAGATAGCTTTGTGGATGGGCATTATTTTTAACCTTAAATAAATCTAATTTTAGTCCTGCAGTAGTAATTCAGGGATGAAAGCCGGCCTGACCCAGCATGGCTTTGACTTGGTTAGAACACTGCTTCTGTGCAAGTGTTGCTATCATTGGCCAGTTGGTTTGGCTGACTTCTTTTCTTTCTTTCTTTCTTTTTTTTTTTATTGAGACAGGGTCTCTGTGTATACTTGGCTATCCTGGAACTTGGCCTGGCTGTAAATTCACAGAGCTCTTGCCTGTTTCTGCCTCAGAGATCTGGGATGATAGGCTTGCAAACCACATCCAACCTGTTAACCAATTTTGAAGTTATTATTGTTATGTGAGTAGATCAGCTAGATCTACTTCCTTTTCCTCTCCTTCCCATTTATCCCCTCTAAAACAGGACATTATGGTGGACATATGCTAGGCCGCGGCTACGCCCTGTAGCTTGCTGGATGCTGTAGTGACATCTCTGTTGTAGAAATGTCTCGAGAAACCTCCTGCTCCCACCTGCTCTATCCTTTTCCCCCTTTTAAATTTAAATTAGAAACAAGCTTGTGGTACATGTCAATCCCAGCTCCCTCAACCTCCCCTCCTCTCCTGCCCCCCCCCCAACGCCCATCCCATCCCAGGGAAGGTGAGGCCTTCCATGGGAATCTTCAAAGTCTGTGAAATCATTTGGAGCAGGGCCCAGGCCCTCCCCCATGTTTCTAGGCTGAGAGAGTGTCCCTCTATGTGGGATGGGCTCCCAAAGTCCATTCCTATACTAGGGATAAATACTGATCCACTGCCAGAGGCCCCATAGACTGCCCAGGCCTCCTAACTGACACCCATATTCAGGGCGTCTGGGTCGGTCCTATGCGGGTTTCCCAGCTGTCAGCCTGGGTCCATAAGCTCCCTCTTTTCCACTTCCTCTATCCTTAACCAAAGCAAAACGTGTTTGTGGTGACTTGAATCAGGTGTAAGAATCACAGGTCCCCAGTGCCAACAGTAAAGGATGTGGTAGATACAGTTGTCTTTTTTTTTTTTTTTTAAAAGATTAATTTATCATATGTAGTGTTCTGCCTGCAGACCAGAAGAGGGCACCAGATCTCATTACAGAACCTTGTGAGCCATCATGTGCTTGCTGGGAATTGAACTCAGGACCTCTGGAAGACCAGCTAGTGTTCTTAACCACTGAGCCATCTCTCCAATCCCATGGTAGATATATAGTTTTAAAATGTCACTTGTGTTAGTATGTGTTTGTAGTTGGTAGGATCTGGGTACAGCAGAGACCCACTGGTGGCTTCAGTGATGGTATGAGTCCCATCATAGCCGCTGCAGTTGGAGAGGGGTGGCTGTCAGTGCGCAGCACCAGCCCCTCCCCTTGCCTCTTCAGGCTGCTTCTGAAGGAAGGGCTAGACAGTGGGACCTCATGTGTAGCTTTAAATTGTCTAACAGCCTTCCTTAAAAATTGGGAGAGATGAGTAGTGATTACGAGCTCTGGTTTCTTTTACAGGGCACTTGTTCAATTTCCAGCACCCACATGGTGGGTAGCTCACTACTGTCTGTAACTCTAGTCCCAGGGATCTAATACACTCTTCTGGCCTTGAGATATCACACGTGTGTGTGGTGCACAGATAACATGCAAGCAGAACACCCATGCATAGAAATAAAAATAATTATAACAAAAACAAAACATCGACATGAGCTAAGCAGTGGTGGCGTACGCCTTTAAGCCCAGTGCTCAGGCAAAGGCAGGTGGACCTTTGTGAGTTCAAGGTCACCCTGGTCTACAGAGTGAGTTCCAGGACAGCCAGGGCTACACAAAGAAACCCAGTCTCAAAAAACCAAATACAAAAAAGTAAAATTGATAAATTATTTTGTTTAGCTCAGCAAGTGTAAAATATAATTTCAACATGTGATAAATACTTTTTTGTTTGTTGTTTGTTTGCTTTCTTTTTTCGAGGAAAGGTTTCACCTTTTAGCCCAGGCCAGCCTCAACTCCAGATCCACTTGCCTCTGTCACCCAGGTGCTAGGATTAAAGGCATGCACTTCCACAGTCCAGATGATAAATACAATTTTTTATTTGTTTTTTATTCATGTGTTGTGTGCATATGCACAGGTGTTTGAAGGTACCCTCAGGCCAGAAGAGGGTGTCAAGAGTCCCTTGGAGTTTTATGGTAGTCACCCAGCATGGGTGCAGGGAACTGAACTTGGGTCCTCTGCAAGAACAGCAAGGGCTCTTAACTACTGAGCCATCTCTTCAGCCCCAGTAAATACAATTGTTAATGAGGTGTTTTACAGTTTTTATTAGGCTGTCTGAATCCATTTGCATTGACATTCTGGTACATCTCCATTTGGATTGAGGATGTCCTGAGGATGTATCACCACACGTGACTACATCACTAGCTGTCTTGGCTGCCCATGTTAGCCCCTCAGCTGTTTATTGAGACTCACAGCCCTCCCCTCTTTTATTTCCTGGGAAGGTTTGTAAGCAGGGGTAAAGAAGGGATCATCCATGTTGGAGTCTTAGGAGACTGATTTATTTGGTCAGAGCATCACTCAGGAAACGGCCCTCAGTGAGCACTCTGTTCACATGCTCTGGTAGTGGGTCAAGCAGGTGACAGGCCTGGCTGCTTCTGCAGACAAGCAGAGAGCTTGCTTAAGCTGCAGATGGTGGCACACACCTCTGATCCCAGCCCTGGAGGCAGAGGAAGCAGATCTCTGAGTTCTAGGCTAGCCTGGTCTACATAGGGGGTTCCAGGCCAGCTGGCTACATAGTGAGACCTCTGGAAGATGGGTCTCACACTTGCTTACAATCTGTACCAAAGCCTTTAATCATTGATCCCAAAGCTGGGCTGGGGGGTAAGGGAGTCTCTGTGGCTGAGGAACATTAAGACATGAATCAATAAATGAAGACCTTGTCTTTGTCTTTTCATTTAGTGGAATAGAAGATGAACTCAACTGAATTCAGTGAAGATGTAGAAGAAGGTAAAAGTTTTTAATTGAATATTTTGAATAAGTTATATATTCATATAGTTTCAGATTTTAAAAAGTGTTTAATGAGAAAGAAGCCTTCCTACCCATAGTTGGCAACCTCCCTATCTATACACCTATTTTGAGTGCTTTTTAAACTCACAGACTGATACTATCTATCTAGGGGTGGGGATGTAGTTCAGTGTTAGAATCCTTGGCTCTGAGTTAGTTAGGTCTATCTAGCACCAGCACACGCATAAGATTTACTTTTTCCCTTTACCTCCTCCCTGCAAAGAAAACCTTTTAAACCCACTTTGGATTTGAACCGTGAACTTACGGGGCAGCACCGGCAAGTATAGGGAAAGGACCGTGTTGGGAAGTGACGGTCAGTACCCTTAAGTGATGGTGCGGGGACAGAGGGTGTCCCTTAGGTCAAGCGAGAGCCTGCTGTTCTCCCAGCAGCCTTGATCTTCCTACTGAGCCCCATTTCTTCTCTGCCATAGTTGTGAAAAATAGCACTGTGAAGGTAGAAGGCGACCATGCTGCCCTGGACTGCTCCCGGAATTCCAGGGGCCCTGAGAGGCACCCCTTGGACAACGTCCTCACTGCCCTCCAGGAGTCCAGCAAGAGGAAGCAGCTGGGCAGCGACGGCCAAGCAGACTCAGTCCCCAGTGTGAAGAGGAGGCGGTTGATACCTGAGGTGAGGGCCGGACTCCCTCTGCTCCAAGATGAATCTCTGTACTCATGGGCATCTGTCCAGCTGTTGGATTCTTGAGCATGAGAAGGGTTTCTTTTGGGTTGTCTGACCTCTCGCTTCAGCTTTTAGGAGGTACCGTCAGCTGAAACCCTTCCCACTGTCCTTGTGGGGAGAGTGGCGTCTTCGTAATACAACCACTTTATGTTCTTGGTTTTGCTCTGCCTTTAGGGGTGTGGGCAAGCATTTGTTATTGGCAGAAATTGTACACAGGCGCCTCTGTGGCTTTATGTGGAAGGCTGATCCTGGGGAAGTTGGGAGTAGGAGGTCTTTTCCCTAAATGAAGCCCAGTATGTATATCTACAAGGGGGATTGATCCTTAGTGAACATTCTTTTCTGCCACAGTCCCTCCCTCCCTCCCTACCCACCTACCTACATTTTTTCCCTCCTCCAGGGTCTCTATAGCCCTGATTGGCCTCAAACTTAACTGAGATCCACTTGCCTCTGCTCTAGGAGTCCTGGGACTCAAGGCTTTTTTCTCTCCCTCCCTCCCTCCGTCCCTCCATTCCTTCCTTCCCTTCCCCTCCTCTCCTCTTCTTCTTTCGTAGTAGAAGCTACGTTCAGCCTTGGGCTGGGCAAGCATTCATCACTGAGCTACTTTTGTACTTTTTATTTGAGACAGTCTGGTCAGGTTGCCTGCTCTGGCCTTTAACTTACCTTGTAGTCCAACAGGCTTTAAAGTAGCCATTCTCCTGCCTCAGCCTCCAGAGTGGCTGACATCACAGGGCCCTGCTACTAGGCTGAATTTTTATATTTCCTTTTTCTTCCTTCTCCTTGACAGAGTCTCAGGGCTTTAGCTGGCCTAGATAGCCCCTATGTGGACCAGGCTGGCTTCAGACTTGCAGAGCTGGCCTGCCTCTGCCTACTGTGCTGGGATTTACCCCACCATGCCCAGCTGCTATTTTGTTACTGTTTGCTTGTGCTAACTTAACTCAGGGCTGATAGAGATTGAGAATGGAAAATGAACTGTAGCTGCAGTTCAGGTGGGCAGTGAGATGTACCACATACAGTAGTAGGGGCTGGTGTCTAGCTAGGATGGAGCCTTCTGTGGTCCTGCAAATACCTTTAGATGCTTTAGAAAAGCATTTCTCCAGACTCCCGAATCTAGCTCCAGATTTTCTGCCTTCAGCCCTGGCCTCCTCGTCATTCTTGGTCTTTGGGAGAGCTAGGTATGCATTCTTACCTGCTTGAGCATTTTCAGTGCCCAGGGGTCCAGCTCTCTCCACCCCCACCCTCACCCCACCTCCCGCTGACCCAGTTAGCCCTCAACACTGCAGCGGCAGAGGATAGTGAATTTCTGGTCCCCCTGCTTCTAACTCTGGAGCCCTGGGTTTACAGGTGTGCGCTGTATGCCCTGTTTATGTGGCGCTGAGGCTGGAACCCAAGGCTCTGTGCATGCTAGGCAAGCAGTGTTATCTTAGTCCCTATTCTATAGCTGTGAAGAGACACCATGACCAAGCTATGTTTTTTTTTGTTTGTTTGTTTGTTTTTTTCCTTCTATGTCATCCTGAAACTCTCCTTTTAGACTAGGCTGGCTTTGAACTACAGAGATCCATCTGCCTCTGCCTCCTGAGTACTGGGATTAAAGGTGTGTGTGGCCAACCAAGCCAACTCTTATCATAAGAAAGCATTTAATTGTGGTCTTGCTTACAGTTTCAGCGGGTTGATCCATTATCATCATGGTGGGGAGCATGGTTCCATGCAGGCAGACTCGGTACTGGCTCCTTAGGCAGAGAGAATAAGTGCTTGGGCCAGGTAAGGACTTTTTAACCCTCCAAACCCACCCCAATGACACACTTCCTCCAATGAGGCCACACCTCCTAATCTTCAAAAATGCCATTCCCGGTAATTTAGAGCCTATGGTTTTATTCAAACCAGCGCACTAGCCCTTAGTAACTTTCCATAGTATTCTTTACATAGATGTTTCTTATTGGATTTATACCTTTCTTTTTCACACTCGTTCATTTCTTCGTGTGTCCATGTCCTGGTGTGCATGCAGTGGTGGAAACGGCCTTGAGGCCAAGCACCTTGAGGTTGTATTGCATTTTCTGTGTACCAGTGTTTTGCCACTGTGTACCATGTGGTTGCCCTCCCCTCTCAGAGGCCAGAAGAGGACATCGGATCTCCTGGAACTGGAATTACAGATGGTTGTGAGCCAGAACCAAACCTTGGTCCTCTGGAGGAGCAGCCACTGAATTGCTCTTAGCCGCTGAGCTGTCTCCTTAGTGCATGAGAAAGGACCGTAGCTTCAATTTTCTTTCCTTATATTAACAACTTTAGCACAATGTTGAACAGAAATGTTGAAACTTGGTGTTTTGTTCCAAATGATATTAGTGATGTTTCTAGTTTCTCACCAGGGACTATCAAGTTAGAGTAGGATTATAGAAGATAACTCTTTTTAAATTTTCTAGTCTATTCTTGTGCAGGGTGTGTGTGTGTGTGTGTGTGTGTGTGTGTGTGTGTGTGTGTGTGTGTTTAGGGTCAGAGGTCAACTTACGGTACTTTATTAGTTTTTGTTTTTTGTTTTTTCAAGACAGGTTTCGCTGTAGCTTTGGAGCCTGTCCTGGAACTAGCTCTGTAGACCAGGCTGGCCTTGAACTCACAGAGATCCTCCTGCCTCTGCCTCTGCAGTGCTGGGACCAAAGGCTTTCACCTCCCACTCCTGGTGATACTTGTTTTTTTTTTTTTTTTTTTTTTTTTTTTGTTGTTGTTGTTGTTGTTTTTCGTTTTTGAGACAGAGCCTTTTTGCATAGCCCTGGCTTTCCTAAAGCTCACTATGTAGAACAGGCTGGCCTTAACTCACAGCAGCCTCTGTCTAACCCTTGTGCTGGTAATTGGTTTTCTCCTACCAACATACGCGTCTGAGGAATTGAACTCAGGTCCTCAGTGTAGTGGCAGGTGCCTTCACCTGCTGAGCCATCTAACCCCCAACCTCATTCCCAGATGTCCCTTTACAAGTTGAGCCCTGTTTGCAGAGGTTTTAATTATGAATGATGTTGGATTTTGCCATCTATTTATACAATTACATAGCTGTTTCTCCTTTATGTTGTTTGTTGTGATATTTTACATTAATTGGCTTCTCTGGCCTGGATCATTTTACACACCACACACACACCACATTCCTCTCCCCATATGTTTTTAGTTTTTTGAGACAGCTTTGGCTGTCCTCAAACTCAAGGATCTGCCTTCCAAGGTGTGTGTCACCACACCTGGCAGTATTTTTTTATTCATTGTTAGATTAAGTCTGACAATGGTATAGCAACCATTCCTGTGTCTGTATTAATGGGAAATACTGCTGTGGCATTCCTTGTTATGTCACCTGGTGTTCAAATGAAAGCACCCAGGCCTTACTGGAGGAGTGGAGATAGAATGTGTGTGGTCCGAAAGGCACTGGAGGGACACACTGTTGGGATGGAGATGCGACTCATCTGATAAGATGCTTGCTTAGGATGCGGGGATTCTGATTACAGTGGTGCATGCCTGTAATCCTGCATTCTGGAGGACCCAGGACAGGAGGATCAGAACTTCCTGGGCAGGGTGGGCCTCAGCTGTGTAGCTGCATAGTGCTGTTGAGTCAGCCTGGGACACATGGGATCCTGGGGGGGGGGTGGGTCTTATATTTTATGTATTTATTTTTTAAAGACATGGCCCTATGTAGCCCAGGCTGTCCTGCCACTATTCCTAAGTGATAGAATTATAGGTCTGAACCAGTGAGCCTGGCTGACACAGTGCAGGACCTGGAACCCAAAGCCTTGTGCTTGCTAGGCAAGCTCTTCACCAGCTGAGCTACTTTCTTAGATCTTAAGTTTGTTTGTTTGCTTTGAGACAAAGACATGCTATGCTATGCTATGCACCTTAGGCTGCCCTGGAATTTACAGCATAGCCCAGGCTGCCCTGGAATTCATGGCAGTCTTCCTGCATTAGTCTCCACCACAATGTATGATATTGTCTCTTCAGTGTTTATGGAATATACCTTTGAAATCATTTGGGCTAATTGGCTTCAGTTGTAAGACTGAAGTTGATTCATTTTCTAGTATGATCAGCTATGTTCAGATCTTCTGTTTCTTATATGAATTTTAACAGATTGTGTTTTAAGGAATTGGCCCATTTAATCTGAGTTATCAAATGCACCCCCCCCCCAATTTGACTGCAGAATGGTATTCCTTTTATTATCTTTTCAGCGGCTTTGAGATCTTTAGTGATGGCTCCCTGTTTTTTTTTTTTTTTTTGTTTTGTTTTTTTTTTTGATGTTTGGTCTGTTGTAATTCAGGCTAGCCTCTAGCTCACTATGTACCAAGGTTGACATTGAACTCCTGAGTCTCCTGTTAGCTCCCAAGTGCTGGATCATAGGTGTGTGCCTGCGCCAACATGCCTGGCCTTAGATCTAGCTTTTGTAACATATACTTTCAAAGATGCATATTTCCATACTTTTTTCTTTTTTCTTTCTTTTTGGTTTTTCTAGGTAGGGTTTCTCTGTAGCTTTGGAACCTGTCCTGGAACTAGTTCTGTAGATCAGACTGGCCTTAAACTCAGAGATCCACCTGCCTCTGCCTCCTTAGTTAATTATCAATTTATCTAAAATCACCTGAGCAGGGGTCTCTCAGTCAGGGAGCTGTTGGAGTAAATTGGCATGTGGGCGTGTCTGTGGGGATTTATCTTGATTGTGTTAATTGAATGGGAAGAGCTGCCCATTGTGAGTGGCACCATTCTCTAGGCAATGATGCTGACCTGCATGAGTGGAAACAAATGAGCTGAGCTAAGACTACAGGCATGTATTCACTGCTCTCTGTCACAGTGATATGGATGTGATATAACCAGCTTCCTCAAGTTTTTGACTTGTTTGTTACATTCAACTATAACCTGGAACTGTGAGCTACAAAAAAACAAAAGCTCTTTCCTCTAAGTTGCAAAGAGTTACTTTGGCAATCTCCAGCTTTTTGTTACAT